GTCGTCTATTATGATGAAAAAGTTTTGCGTTTTTAAAAATCACGTTATTCCACTAATTTCAGTATTTAGAATATGTTTCACGGTACATTAAAAGATATCTACAAGTGTGCGTTCTTAAGCTTCTCTTAAGCGGTTCCGTTTCATTCCTTGAGAGCATGCAGAAACTTGTTTTGAAGTGAGTGTAAAGAGTCTTGCAATTTTTTCCAATTTTCAGATGAATGCAAGTATTCAGCTCATGAAGAAGTATGAAGCATTAACTGTTTTCTATTCTGAGTTCTCAGGTGCATTATTTTTCTCTCTTAAAGCAAATCCAACTCCGTTAATGTTATCGAGAAGTAGGCTATATATATACATAACAATATGGCAACATATAAAATCACTGGAATGTCATTTACTGGTTTTAAGTTCAAAGAATCATCAAGGAATTAGATCTGTATTTTTGGATATAGAAAATACACAATGGAAAAAGTCTATTCGGGGGCAAAAATCGGCAGCAGACTGATCACAGTTAGTTCTCAGTTCAGGACAAAGTAATTTGGAGCCGAGTGCGTTATACGCGTTAACTGATAGCTCTCTATCTTGCAGGCGGAATACTCAAGGCAGCACTTTCCGAACATCTCCCAAAACATCTAGCGTAACAGAAATCAAGATTTTTTGGAACCGCCGGTATTAATATAATTGATTAGTCGATGCATTTCCTCTGATTTTTAAATTAAATCAAAAGGGATTCTACAACTTAATATTCACAAGACTGAATCGCCGAGTCATGTCGACATATGGCTCGTGAACGTAATTGTTAAAGAATTCAAGTCTCATGCGTTACTAACCTTAGTGAGATCGGATCAGATCTCGTCTGAACTCAATTCTTGTAACCAAATTGACACCTTATCGAGAGCACAGAACAATTTAAGCCGCAGAAAATGCCTGGGTTCACCGCATGGGTCGCACATACGTCATACCCTTAAACCTAGCCCTGATCCGAACATTATTTCTCGTTATAATTTTGATACTCTGTCAAGCAGAAATGATGTGAGAACAGAGAACTTGATCATCTGGTATTCGCTGTTGATGCAAAGCTGAATTCTCAGAATTTACATTTAAGGCTAAGTATGGATTTAGTAAGGAGAGTCGGTGTTTTAATCTTGGCTTAGGATAACGTCGCGTGGCAACGGATGTTGCGAAATTAGTATGACGTTTCCTGACGTGATCAAGAATTGTTGTATGAGAGGACAGGAAAAGGAAACTAGGATACAGTCCAGATTTAATTCTTTATTTTCGAGTTTGCTGAAATTAGATATTACTAGACGTAATGAATACCATGGGGACAGAACATATCACCAAAAACAACTCTTAAAACCTGAGATTACTTTGACCTGTAAAATGTGAATCGAATAACTCAACCAAATAATTTAAGTGTACAGGTTTAAAGTTCGGCGGCATTCACTCTCCGTCTCAATCTTTACTATCATTACCCGTCTTCCTTCCTTTTTAGTTCATTTTACCCATTTTTTGTTTGTATCCGCCAATTAAAAAATAATTGAAAGATTTCCTATTAATATAAAGAAGTTTCTCTTTGACATTAATATGGCGTGTCGTGGCTGTCTCAAACGCCGCCTACTCGGAATTTCAGTTGGTTGATTTTACAGACTTCATGATTAGAAATGGATTTTTTCTCGTGAACAATAGGTAATTTGAAATATGTTATTGACCTCTATTGTAAATAGTTCATGAAATCTAACAACATCGGTATAATTGTTTTTTGTCGAGCGGAAGTTTTGAGTGTTTTTATGAAGAATATTACATCGAAGAGGAAAGTTATAACAATAGCATGGAGAAACTGACAAAGATAAAAAAAGGAGTCTAAATGGAAATAGCAGATAACAGGAAGCCTTACGTTATTCTTAGCTTATTTGCTAACTTAAAAATAAAACCAATTTGTCCACGCGTATTTCTAAAGAGATCTAACGAAGTTTACATGGTGGGAGATTTTTTGGTCGTTCCTAGATCCCAGGTTTCGTGCCGAATGCAATCTCCCACGAGTGAAATTGAGTGAAATTACGGACGTACCGAAGGCTGTGTTCGGTAAAACTTTGAAGACGTCTTAAAATTTTAGTTATGTGCGTTCAATCCATGTATTAAAAGATATCCCTTCGTGTTCACGGCGCCGCATAAAGTGTCCTCCCACTTAATCTTACCACTTCCTTCCTCAGTTAGACCGAAATATGAAGTGTACTAATAGATTTGTTATTGTTTCGTTGACAACAGCATTTTAGCTTCAGGGTGTCAAACATCAACCGAAACTGAAATAAAACTTAAATGACTGAGCTGGGTGAGTAGCAAAAAAGTTGAGTAATAACCGCTCTTTCCAAACTGGAAAAGTAACGGTAACATGGTAGCCTCATAACAAACGAAGATCATTTGAACTTCAGTATAATTTTTTTTTCGACTCCTCCGGATCGGAATTGTGAGTCACTCTTCCGGTTCTCTCGCATTCCGTGTAAAATGGGTCAGAAAAGTCAAAATTATTCAACTAGTGATTAGTTTAAAATTCTTTTCTTTTTTTGATATTCAGCTGTTCCTTGAAGGAAAAGTTTTATAATCCAAGTATTCAAATATTTCAAACTAACTGCATTTTCCTTGATTTTCTTCTTCTGAGAAATTTCAAGCAATCGCAATTTAATCGTTTTAAAAAGTTGTGCACCAGAGTATCATAGTAACCTCTCGCGGAGTAACGTCGTCTCGACCAATCAGAACGCGCGCTTCCTTATACGTCACCAGAATAATTGTACTAAATCCAGCCAGCAAATTACATCTGATAAGTTTGTTTCTTCTTTCTATTCGCTTGCTGGAGAATGTATTAATATTGTGAGGAGAAGTTACACGTTGATCACGTGGGGGAGGTAAATGGTAAAATATAAGCAAAGCCTCCAGGTAGCTAAACGACAGGAACGTAGGTGTTGTTATAGCAGTCGAAGATAAGACAGGGATATTGAAAGTGTGCTCTGCTCGCTCGAAGTGATTCGTGCATTAAGAACACTCATCTTTGCCTGGTAGACGAAAATGGCATATATTTTTTTTGTCTTCGACGAATGTTTCACCTCAGGCAATTTATTCCTAGAGAAGGCGATAACAAGAAGCGTTTCGATGGTAAAGCAGCGCAAATGATTCTCTTCAATCAATATCAATGCTACGAGCCTCATCAAGTTTTTTTTAATCCCCTCTCATTCTTCCCCTCTCATTCCTGAATTATTTTTCAAGCACTGCGATTTTCGTGGGATGGCTTCATGTAGCTCTGCAAACAGCACAGAGGTTGACAAAGGGAGGATCTAAGCAGGTGTTTCATGAATTATGACGTGGATTACCGTTTCACATTAAGGTCCCAGACTCAGTGAAACATGCTCTGTTTGGCAGCACTTTCGTGTTAAGACCAATCATGGGAGTTTTCCGGGTTTTAAAGTTACCCCCTGGGACTTGGTCATTGCCTCACATTCGAGTCCCGCACTTTTCATAGGCATCCTAGACGAGTTCTGACGGCTACTGTCAAGTCTATATATAGCAAGAGCTGTTGATATTCTGCCTGAGTAAGCTGAGAATCTTGTGACAATCAAGTGAATGCCGCTGAGCAGAATATATTCATGTGGTACTATTTTCGTACTGTGATACACTGTACAATGTGGGTTTAGCTCATGTATAAGTTCGGACGTGACTCAGTAATAATTTAGAAGTCGACACTTAATTTCATGACAGCACAACGTCTAATTATAAATGGCATATTGACATTATGCCTCACAGGTGGTTCTTTGAGATGAAGTAGATAACTCTTCATGGGTTGAGCTTGAAATAATTCTTGTCTGATGGGGTTGTTCAATTTCAAAACTTATATCTTCCGTGATTTCAAGATTGCGTCAGGCAGAATGTTGATATCCAGCGTTCATTATCTTTAATCAGAAGATGAGAATGTTTTCTAATGGTAAAGAGAAGATCCGCTTTGATATTGTGGTGTCTGAACAGGTGTATCTTCGCCGGAAGGAAGTCTACTGACACAGAAGTTCGCTCGAGGCACGCAACGCCGAAGTTAGCTTGCCAATATCCCTGCAATGAGTGGGCGAGAGGGGGGGGGGGAGGAGAAGGGATACCTTTTCTCTCCTATGTAAGCCAGATATATGCTGCCTCGAAGAAAAATCATGTTTTAAAAACGGTTTTTAATTTTCACTTTTGAGTGAAGATACACCTGTCTTAAATGTGGCGTGTTTTTCGTAAGAGCTGCGGCAGCGTATAATAGTTTTTATTTGTTCGAGTTCGGATGAATATCAGTGAGAGGCAAGTACAACATGCATCATTCGAAATGAATTTTCAGGTAAATTTTTTACCATTTGTCGATTTCAATGCCGAATCAAAGCTTGATTATGCTACAATGAAGCGAAGCGGATTCACAAACCCCTTTGCAACTTTTAGAAGCTCTGTCTAAAAACGGGTGCGGAAAACGGAGCAGATCGGTGGCTGAAGTAGATTCACGACAGCACATCCATACTCTTTCCATCAAACACTATACCTCATTCACACCAGCAAAACACGTTTAGTTAAACCAGGTTTGACTGAGTGAAAATCAGAAACAGAAAATTGAAAACTTAATCTCCCGTAGGGTTTAATCACTTATCAACTTGTCTTTGCGTTGTGCTAAATTTGAAGTCGACGAACATTGGTTTTTAAGCTTCGATGAAGCAGACAATTTTAAACGATGTTTAACAAAACAGCTTTAACACATGTTTAACCTAAAGTGTGATCGGGGTAGTAGACGAAAACCTTAAAATAAAAAAAAATCTTCCGTTTCCCTCCCTAGTTTATGAAGAGTTTCTTTAACACTCTCTCAGTACGCAGAAACGTTGAACGTTGCTATTCCTAGATGTCAGATGTAACGCGTTTGCCGCGCAAAGAACAACTACAGTCAACAGGCCAGAGAGTTTATTTAGTGAAATAGGTTGCATTTCTAATTATTTAACGTAGTGAATATACTCAGAGTGAAGCCTGGTCGCTTATTGTAGGGATTTTGTTATGTCCGATGTGGATCGCGTCGTTCCGACTATACACTACCAGTCTTCTTCTGACAATAAGGTCGACTGGATACGCGTCACACCATGAACCATTATGCTCAGTTGTGATAGGCGTGTTACGAGATTAGCCCATTCTTTCCCAAGACTGAAAATATAGAGATACAGACGGACTCTTCTCAAAGTTGGCGTGAAATTTATTTAAATTATTAAGAGGCTATCTAAAGCCTGTATCATTATGTACAAAATAAAAACTCACACCTATGACAATATTCACTCTTTGCCCCTTAGCAAAACAACACTGCGCTAATCCCATTCTTGGCAGTAATCTAGGGGTAATCACGCAACACTCGTCACATAATCCCGCCACGAACATCACGAACATGACGTGACTATCTAAATATGATATAATCCTTAGTATAAATTATAAGCAAAAATCCTGCAACGACAGCTAAAACTGTCAATACATTTTAAACTCTTATCAAATTGATACTGTACACTGGAACTCATATTTACAGCTGCCGTCAATGTCAATTGGAGAAATGAAGCAGCTTTCTAAAGGCAGCGTGATAATTCTTTTTTTTTTGTTTCTTTTGTTTTTTTTGTTCAACGATGATGCTTTCTTTGAATGTGACGGAGAATTATGTACAGTAAACTGAGAATAACACTTTAAACGAATGTTTGCCTTAGAGGTGTCTCGAATCTTCCTTGAACTAGGCACAATTAAATTCGGAAAAAAATGGAAAAGAACGAAGCGAAGTGAGGAGGAGGAAGAAATTCCAAGTCACAAATAATCTTCCCCTTCCTGATTTTTTTTATCTTTTCTAGTACCACACAATAACAAGAGGACTATTTATGATTGTCTATGACTTGATGACCCCAAACTGACGGCACGCTGGGATAACGCAAGGAACAAGATATGGGTAGAGAGAGAGTGGATATGTCATTTGACCTGGAGCGACTAATGGGGCTTGAATGATTCGGAAACCCATCGAAGTGGTTGTGAGCGTATTCTGAGGTACTGTTCCTGCGTTGGTTCGTACGCAAGGCACGACGGGGGAATCACTGTTCCCATCTGCTAGTTCTTCAGCTTTTACTTTATCCTCTCCAATCGGTGCTTGCATTTTTGAGGGAACTTCTCGCGAGGGAGAACTCTCTTTTCCGAGAGGCGGTTTGACAAATTTGTAAACAAGTCTCTGACCATTTACCTGACAAAGGAAGAAACGAAAATTGTCCTTTACCAAAAAGAGATCCCACTTAACAAAAAAAATAAAGAAAATATTGTTATCTTTTCGCTGAAAATGTGAACTCTTGCCAAAGGCAAAGGATTCAAAAGTCTGTCAGGCCACCAGAAGGAACTTTCCGGTCTGCACGTTATTGCCATTAATCAGCTTTGTGATCATCTAAACAATAAATTCCCCCTTCACAAAGAACTATTCACCTTTTTGGGACACGAAAAGTTTAATTGTTACAGGAAAACCTTTATGCACGTCAAAAGTAATTTGTCTGAAAATTGAAAGGGAAAAAGGTTTTAAAAGATGAAGGACATTAAAATGGGTTACAACTGCTCGAGAAAATTTGTGTTTGCTCCCTTAAAAAAGGAAAACAAACAAGGTCTGAGAAACTGTATGAGAATGGAAGAGATTAGAACTGCAAGGAGTTGGTAGTTTCTCTTTATAATAAAGAACATTACCTTCTTGATGATTCCTTTCTGGTAGTAGTATCTCAGCGCTCGACTTAGTTTATCGTAATTCATGCCAGGTCTGTGTTTCAAATTTCCCCATCTCCTTGCGACCTCTTCCTGGTTTTTTAGCTTAAACTCTCCTGCTTCACGATTGGTCCAGCATATCATGTGATCACTCTTTTCATCCAATAAGAGATTGAGTAAAAATTCCCAAAGGTGAATGGCAGTTTTGGGAGGTTTTCGTAAGCTTTCTATAAACAAAAATGTAAATTATGAGGGTTTTTTTAGACCAAATATCTATTCAACAGAAACGTCGGTAGGAACTGAAAATTTCCGGTGTCAATTAAAAACCTACCTGAAGTCAACTGTCAATAGATCGACGCTAGGAACCGATTAACATATTATTTAATAGCATAATATTTCTTTTCTCCATACGTAGTAAAATGCCACCTTTGTTATTCGAAGCGCGAAGGAGGAAAAATTATACCACTTAATTTGAACATGTCGTAGACTGTTTTCGTTGGGCAAAACAATTGTCAAATTTTGCTGCAGTTATTACTTCTTTATCTTGCCAGATTTGAAATTTTCATATTTTCATTTATCGCTGAGTTATTCCTTATACGCTCTCGTCAGTTCTTATCGCACGAGATATCATCAAAACCGCTAGTTTATCTCTATACGTATGAAACGCTCAAACTTACCAAATTGCGACATCGCTGAATGTCCTTCTTCTGCTAATGAATTTCCCTCTTCTGTAACAAAAAGGAAAAAATGAATATTTACTGACGTTTTCAGCACATTTAAGGAATAAGTGATGCGGAATTCGGTGAAGTCTAAGTCTATGCCATTAAAACCGCAACTGCTTTCTTCTTAAGGATAAAAAACGGATCAAAGCATATTTCGCGTGATTCCAATTGTTTCCGCGAAAAATCCTGTTTTTGATTGGTCATTTACGGAAGGAAGCTACATGACGTTATTCATGGAAGAAAGCAATTTTCGCTGGCTTTGTCTTTCTTTGACAAATGTAAACGGCACAAAAACACGATGGAAAACTTTTATCTAAATGTTTGCGTTGGGAATAAACGGCTGCGAGAAAGAAAAATATCTTAACCACTAGGAACTGTTGGACGCCTCGCTTTTGAGTCAATTGAGTTTTAAACATGTAGTTGAAATAACATCAAAGAAGTGTACCTTTTATCTCGTTTTCTCAAATTGCATGAGAAAGTTACCGTTTTTGACCAATATAAACATCCGCCCTTAGTTTTTGGTTTCGATCTACGTTTCCCAGTTTAAGAAGTATTTCTCTGAATTTCATATTTTTGTCCTTTGAAACGGCCACACGAAGGATTGTTATTTCCTCTCCTTAGAGGTCATCTTTGGCCCCCTGCTGTCCTTAGAACTTCCGCTCCGGAGTTGAAAAGACGTGTTTCTCTTGAACGTGTTGAAGCTTACCAACAAATGTAGAACCTCGAAGGTATCTCAAAGATATGTGCAAATTGAGAGAAGTTTCTTCGAATTTGAACAACAAACTGTACTTTTACGAACATTTCGAAGCTAACACAACAGAAATCGAATAAAGCTTTGGTAGTTAGTGGAACTATTGTCGTCGATCTTATACGCTATACGAATGAATCGAGTTCTTATTCCCACGCTTTTTTTAAAGCTTTGGACAAAACTTACGTTATGTACTTGTTTCGACAATTCACATGTTTCCTGGTTACAAAATTTGAATAACGAGAAGAGCACGTAACCCATGGAACGACCGAGCTCGCCGCTAAAACGCGGTTGCAGTCTATCTTTCTTCGTAAGAGAACGAGAAATTTTACGATTATTTTGCAAGGCGTCGAACTCATCTCAAACTTTCGCGATAATTTAATCGCAAATTCAGATTTCTGCCGAACAGAATAAGAAAATGCATTGTTAGCACAACGTGATGATTCACTTGCAACGCCGTTCGAAATTGTCAAGAGATGCGAAATCGTAGAAATTTTCGCTGAGAAATATAAACTCACATCGTGAGCCAAAAAACATCAAGAAACCAATGGTAATTAGACATACCTCTTAGAATCGTCGTTCTTTTAGCAGTTTCACAGTCGTAACTCAGCCAGTATCGAAACTTAGTAATGTCGTGTGGGCGATTTGAGTAGGTTTTTATACAAGCGTCAAGACTTCCTGTTTGTGTCAAGCTGTCATTGGACCGAAGCGTGGGCGGAAGTAGATGTTGTTATATAACAGGAAGTGGCTTGTCACGCAGCACAATTATTTCCTCCTTGTTATTTGAATAAAGGAATATTTGTATATGAAATCAACTGGAGCGTGCTGTGAATACTGAACATTTTCGAGAAACGTCATCACTGATTGTGCTACAACACTGCCAAATCGAAGACGTGCAAATCAGTCGATTAGCGTTTCAACTCAGCTTCCTCGAAAATGAATGTTAATACTGTCAAAATTAACTCGAGGATTGGTACGGAAGCATTCTGTTTCCTTTATGAACTTAGAAACATACGCTGCATCTTCACGTGCTTTCCGGTAGTTATCCTTCACTCAACGAAATTTTTCTTTTCTTTTTCAACTTAATTATTAATATCACAGGAAAAAGGAAGAGAGGGCTCAAGGAAACAGAGAAGACTTGATAATAATACGACATCTGATATGTGATAAATAATGGTATTTTCCCGCAAAACGTTTCTCTTATAAAGGTTCTTACCGTTCGCTGGGACACGCTCTTTTCGATCACAGGTTATTTCAGTCAGCGTTATTACCGCGCTGAATTTTTAAGACGCCTTTTTCATTGAACTTCGTTTGCAATTCACACTGAATAGAAAGAGGAGTTTGTTTTGGGGAAAGCCTCGCTCGATCATGACCCAAAGTTAACCTGCTTCCTGACGAATACCATATGCATCCGAAACTGGCAGGATTTTAAACATAGGCCCGCTTCGTTATGGTCATTTCACTCTTGTGACGTTTTTAAAGTATGGCAAGGCTATTGCGAGCCTTTGTCAATGTTGCAAGGAATCGTGCGCGTGACAGTGAATTTATTAATTAGTGTTTTACAGACGCCAGTGTAGGCATACATTGGGAATTTGTTTGGGGAGCAGATCTCTTTTTAAGATATTACTAAAAAATTATATTATTTTTAAATTCCTATTATTTTTCCGGACGGCACGGAAGATGCCCACTGTATTGGAAAACTAGGAATGGACTGAGACACCCTTCAAGATGACACAGAGCATAACGTGTAGTTGTCTTCAAACTGACAAAATTATTTTCAACTTGACAGATTCCATTTTTTCTAGGTGACAAGCATATTCCGCTGAAATTTCTGCTCTGACATAAGTCTTATTCAATTTTTGCATTTGAGTCCTAAATCGTAGTTTAATATTTCAGTTCTAAGGTATACGATATTTTAATGAAGAATGAATTAATTCTTCCGGTTCCGAATAGAAAGGAAAAACATTTCTCTTTCGGCCCTAAAACAGCAAATTTTCTCATATTAGAAAGTGTGGATTAAAATAAACGTTTGCGTTGAGGAAAGGAAACCTTGATATGGGAAACCCCGCCGAATTCAGGGAAATACGTTCGAGCCAAGGTCGATTGCAGATATTCCAGTGACCAAAAGCGTCTCGGACTTCCCCTCTACCTGATGCGCGACTTGGCGAAACTTATTTTTCACTTTTATAAATCGTAAACTTTAATATTAAATTGCGACAAAAATACATTCTGCTGTATGTTAAATTATTTTGTTTACAATAATTGCGCCCATATTCTTCAAATTGTCTTTGGTTAAAACTATGATAACTTGATAGGAATAAAAAAAGCAGACAACTTTGATTGTCCTGTTTGCATCGTGGTTTTGATCCGACGAACTCACCAGTAATGTGTGCTTATAACAGATTGTTTATACAGAGATAGACGAAGAACGCAGCAGTAAAAGGGTCAAGTACGATTCAGGTCATCTCCATGATTCACAGAAATTATGTCACGAACCAACTCTGAATTATGAATACAACGTAAACCTCTGTCGAAATATAGTAATTTGATAAAGTTATAAATTTCTGATCATATTGAATACAGAGCTGCTTTCTTGTAACTTTCTTCTTTTGATAAATTTGTAACTCTGCTAACACTTTTTTTTCAATTCTCACACGTTTATTTATAGTTACGTAAATGTTATTAAAAACTCTTCCCTGTATATCAGTAGTTACAGTCGAACCTCGGCGTAACAATTCCTAGGGGAAAAAAATCATCATTTTCGTGTTATGTGAGCCCTACGTACCTGAATACATCACACAGCCTCTTAGGAATCTTTAAATCTCCGCTGAAGCTACGTAGTAGAAAAATCGTTGATGGAAGAAGATTATAACTAGCCAACTAAACAGGAAGTCGTCGGAAAACCTGTTTGATGTGACATAAATCATGAGAGACAAAGTGACCCAGAAACCCATTCAATAATTTAACGATAAGGGATCTGATGATGGAGTAGTTCGTTCGATTTATATCTGTCGCGGCCGCGCAAGATGAGAAGAGAAGGTCACGTCATTTTGGCTTTTCGTCTCTCTTGAGCCCGGCCATTCAAACTGCCTTCAACTTGATCAAGACTTCTTTATACTTCTTTAACGAGAAAGAAAAACTCAAAGAAGAGTTTTATAAGCTAAGAAGTAACAATTATGGCAAAGGATGGAAATGTTTGCACAGTTGCAAACCGTGAACTTGAAAGTTCAAAGTAGGCTTGGTATTTCTAAATTCACACAAAGCTACGGAGCTCGCTCGTCCGATGCTTGAGTAACAGTGGCGAAAGAGGAACGAAAATAAACTATACGGTGGTGGGGTGAAAAGAAAAGATTGCGCAACTCGTAATCTTGTACCAAAATCTCTTCCGGTCGATACAGAAACGAGAATCATCTTGAAACGTGACAAATATTATTCAAAGGTTCTCGGTTTAGCAAAAGGAAACTGATCATGAGTAGGTGTTTCTATTTTCTCTCTCACGCTCCCCAACAGAGTTTCTCCTCTTTTTTTCTTCTTCTATAGAAACTGAAGGACGAACGCTTCCCTTTAATCGCTTAAAGAAAAACAAAAGGAGAAGAAAGGAATACTTAGTTGCGAGTTATGTCTATCATCTGAACTGCTGTGTAAACACAACACATGTCGGTTACCCCATGGGGAGACATAATTATTTCCTGAATCCTAGTACATCATATAAACAATTCTGTAGGTTAACCGCCCCACTGAAAACAGTCTAAGCGAGCTGGGTTCCCTCATTAAACAATATTATTATTATTATTATTATTGTTATCAATGTTATTATTATTATTATCTCTTCTGTCACAGTCTTTGCTGGTGTTCTTTATGTGCATCAGCCATGGGCAAACCACGCACCAAGGGCATCAGTCACTTAAATCAATAATTCTGTTTAACCGCAAAGCACGTTTCTGAGGATTCGCGCAGATCCTAGCATGCAAATCTTTTGAATCTCTGTCACAGTAGCTGCTTCTGATACCTTTCTTATGCTTTCCAACATCCCTTTCTTTACTGTACCAAGCGCACCAACAACTGCAGGGATCTTATTATTATTATTATTATTATTATTATTATTATCCTCATCATTATCATTATTGTTATTATCATTGTTATCAAGGAAAATAAGAATTAGGAAAATCGTTGTCTATTTTCTTTAGTTGTAGCCTCCTCTTTCCTTAGGGATTCATGCTCTGAGATGTCATAGCCACTAATTCATTATTCTGGCTTCTTCTGATCTGATTGCAATATTTTAACTTGTGTTCGCTGGGATTTTCTCAGACCTCCTACGTTCAAAAAAAAACAGGCTCATCATAGAATATCACACGTGGTCGTATATTCTGTGAGGGACATCTTCAGGTTTGAGTTACAGATCTAAGAGATGGAACTAAGGCCAGTTTACATGGAGGTGGGGGACCCAAGGTAGGTGAGGTAACCCGCCTAGGTGGGGTAACCCGCAACGGACACACAAGGAGTGTAAAATGATCACATTTCGGAATATTTAGCGTTGTAAATCGACCATATTTGGTTTCCCAAACTATTCCGTATAACGTATTAAGTCAACAGTTCCTCGCCAAACCAAACACCGCGTAACACAACGCGTGACGCTTTCATGAATAAATACATATGTGTCTGAGAATTAATCTTTCTTTTTTTTCGAGATGTGAGCTTGGGACGTCTCTGCTCAAAGTCCTTAATTGCAAGCGCAACAACAACCTCAAGAAACCTCACCCCAGCACCTCGGGGTTGTAAGATTGCATGTAAACGCGTTTTATTTTTCGAACACGGCTGGGCGGGTTACCTCACCTACCTGGGGTCCCCTACCTCCATGTAAACAGGCCCTAAACTTCCTGTGGTTGACTACCATAGAGATCTGGCACGAGCCACATCAGCTATCCAATATGGCGGCCTCCTCCCTTTGTTCCACCAAATTAATCTGCTGAAAACTTCGGACAAAACCAATCCTAAAATGGCCAGAAATGATACAAATCCCAGCAGAGATAAAAAATTAATTTATGTGAGGGCTCGCTGCTGATCATTTCGAACATGTCGAAAACTCTGGACGAGCGATCACGGAAATTTATTGATGCAGTCCAATCTGACCTTAGAGCTTTGTCGAACGAGACTAGGCGAAAATTTCAACCGGTTAAAGAGGTGAGAAGCCAGTTTGATGTCTTAGAATAGCCTCGCTTGTGTCTTTGAGAGCTTTTTCTAGTGACCAGAGTAATAACGTGTTCAAGGTTAGCATTCCCGATTTAAAATCAACAAAATTTTATTTTGTCTCTATTTAATCTTAATGACTGTTGTTGATCGTTTAACCTTGAAATTTTGATATCCGCTTGCCTCCATCCCCCGGTTTGACAATTGTTATTCTTTTTATAGGCGGCAGAAGCTGGAATCTTACGCCTCAGAACTATTGGCGCTGCTAAGGTGAAGAATTTGAAAATCACGAAAGGTGAGGAGACATTGTATAGAGATATTCAACATGAACTTTGAAATCAGCTTTTGTCAGGCGTCAGTCGTAAAATATTTTTATTTCTCCATTTCAATTTTATTTACAAATAGAATTGGCTATGAATTAATAGCAGTTTCCTTGTTGAAAGGAATAAAAACACTGATAACTTAGGAGAAATAGCTGTTTATAAATAAAAACGTCTAATATAAGCATTGATAACTTGCAACACACACATTTAGCTGCTTCAAAAAAAGACAGACTTTTCTCAGGGTTTTTAAAAATCTTCACTCCCGTAATGATCAAAAGGGTATTTCTCCTTATAATATGAATTCAAAAGAATAGAAGAATATCAATCAGGATATATTCTCTGATCAATGTAAGACAAAATTCTGTGGGCTAAAATTATATGAAATATATACAGAATTTGTAGATTTTGGGAGTAAAAGGGCTAACTCTTTACACCCCTTAACATCAGTTTGCATATTCTCCATACTGTTCTCTATACATTTTCTAAAGTGCTGACAAGGAGAATTTGTGTAACAGTCAAGAGTGTCTTAAGTTGGTGATCATTTCCTTTATTCTTGTTACATTAATGTGTGATTCAGGGGTAGAACTGTAAGGAGAAATAAGATGCTGATCAGGTTAAGTGGTTACAGGATCAAGAGATAAGAATGAGAAAGAAACAGGAGAATTGTTTCTACATCTGAATGAAAAAAAGCTCTGGGCCAGGTTGTTCAAAGCAGGGTTAAGATAATGCAGAGTTAGTGTAAAATTTGATTAAAGATCTGAAAGTTTGTAAAGAACATTTAGTTTAACTCTGTTTGTCTTCAATTTGATGATTGGTGATGGGATGTTCTTAAAACAAAAGAGAAAAATTGTCCTTAAAACAGCTTTTAAACAGAGAAATATAAAAACCTAGGTAGATTAAAATTTAACCCTGGGTTAGCTAATCAGCCTTCAAGCAACTGGGCCCAGGCCATTAAAATTCTGCCAGAAATGCAATGCTTCCAAAGGTATGATGCAGCTCTCTTAAACTTTTAACCCTCTAACTCCCAGAAGTGACTAACATAATTGTAACTTCTCTCTGTGGTATCCATACATCCATACATTATCCAGCAAACAGGTAATGGGAATACTCAAACTTATCTTGTAGAAGTTATCTTGATCTAACATCAAATTCTTATTATTAAATTACAAGGAAATGTGTAGCGCCTAGAGGGGAGAATTAACAAACCAATCTTGGGAGTTAAAGGGTTAAATCCTAAGAGTAACTAGCATCTAATTTCTCCTTACAGTATAACTACTGAACCATTCTTTAGAATCATGAGAGGAAAGTAAATAATCGCCAACCTGAGGAGCTTTGATTGTTAAACAAATTCTCCTTGTCAGCACCTTAAGAAATGTATAGAGAAGAGTATGGAGAATGTAGATACTGATCAGAGGGTGTACAAGGTTGAAAACAGCATTAACCAAATAATGATCAACATATAATGACATGTATTTCTTTCCTTTTTAACAGTGATTGCTGAAGAAACTGAGATAGTCCAACCTTTCTTACTTGGCTGTGATACCAAGAGTCTCCGAGTGGTACAAATTTCTCTGACAGCTCTTCAGCGGCTTATAACCAATGATGCTTTATCAGAGGTTTGCACACCATCCTGATTGTTAATATAAAGAATTTGATAATAATAACTACAATGCTGGGTAATTTTATTAAGCTCATCCAGTTGAGAGTAATCCTGAAAAGCATTGTTGTTGATTGTAATGACTGATGTTTAGACAAGCTGAGCAGAAGTTAATATCAGAGTCAAGTAAAGAGCTATTTGTCAGTCAAGTGCTTAAAGTCTGTTTCATGGACACTGAGCTATCAGTTTTTGCCGTGATGTTTTTGGCTTAAAAAGTTTAGAAGCATAAATCATTTTCTACCCATCAATAAAGCAAGGTAATTCTGTGAAGTTTGTTTGCTGTACTTGTAGAGGTGGTAGTTTTCAGCATCTGTCAAGAGCAATTTATTAAATTGTTGAGATTATTCAATTCTTTGTAAAAGCAGTGCTACTTCCTTTTTCATGAAGAATCATACCCTAAAATTACCCCATTAATACCATCAAGCTCCTTTTGTCAAACAGGGTCTCAATAGGGTGAACTTTTAGCAGTAAAACCACCAAAAAACTTAGCTGTTAGTTGTAAAAATTGACAAATTTTAACCATTTATCTTAAACAAAGTTGGACATAAAATTTTTTTCCTATCTACAATGTGTTGAGAGGCCTTGTGTTTGAGAGCACTTAGTCAGTGACAGAGCCGCTCACATTTTCAAGCATCTGCAAGATTCTGCACATTATCACACTTTGTGTTCAGCAGATAACTACCATGTTTTGGATCACACCTCTACTGGTTTTCAACTTAAGATAAAAGAGGCTATTCATATTCAAAGAGAACAACCATCCTTGAATCAATAATTACACCACAGTCCATGTAAATCTAAAACTATCCTTTTAATTCTCACACTTATCACTATTATCATCATTAGCATTGTTCTACTTGCTATACAATTCAACTTCCAATGCTTTGTACATTAATTAACTGTCACTTTCTTTAAATTCTTGACTTGCCTGCTAATATCAAGACCCTTTGGAAACTACAATGTGTTATTTTGAAATTGTCAAATTACCCATTAACTGTTAAGTGGACATTATTTTAAATGTTAGCCGTGCAAACAACTACCCCATTGAGGCCCTCTTAAACTGGAAAGCATTTCCTTTAGCTAAATTTGTTTTACTAAATAATAATAATAATAATAATGATAATAATGATAATAATAATAATAATTTATTTCTATAGCTCATTTCCTAACACCCAAATGTGCTTTACAGTGTCAAATTATCATAACCTATAATTAAATAAAAATTTAAAGTCTAAAAATATGCTTGCCGAAAAAGATAGGTCTTAAGCTTAGCTTTAAAAATAGAGACAGATGCACTGCATTTAATCTCAAATGGAACCAAGTTCCAGAGGTAAGGCACGCACACTGAGAAAGCCCTCAGGCCAGTCAATTTGTGCTTGTAATATAGGTGACTCCAGTTTAACACCTGTTAACACCTGTTACTTTATCTCTTTGTTGCAGTCGTCATCTGTTAACCTTGTTAGCGCACTGTGGCAGTTGATGGAAGGAGGATTAGAAGAATTACGAATTCTTCAGACTATCATTCTTCTTATAACAACTTCAAATATTGTTCATGGGGAAAACCTTGGGAAGGTCAGTAAATTTTGCTTAATTGGTGTGTACTTAAAATCCTTTGACCCTTAAGAGTGATCAGCATATAATTTCTCTTTACTAGATCACTCTCTGAATCACACTTTAAGGTCAAGAGAATAAAGTTAATGATCTTCAGCTGTAGAAGCTCTTGATTGTTAGACAAATTCTCCTTGTCAGCACTTTAGGAAATGTATAGAGAACAGTATGGAGAATATGCATATTGATGTCAGGTTGTAAAGGGTTAACACCAAAAGGAGGCCAAGGAGCACCAAAATCCACTGGTCTACTTAATTAAGACTGAAAAAAATCTGCTGTGACCTAATGATTTACTCTACGAAGTCATGAAATTGATCAATTTTAAAATCCCTGAACCTCATCTCAGTCTCAAAGTAGTGTGGAAGTATTGTTGCTAGTTTAATATTTACAGTGTGTAGGACGATAAAATAACCACGACCCTTTCTTAACCCTTTACACCCTAACATCGGTATGCATATTCTCCATACTGTTCTCTATACATTTCCTAATGTGCTGGCAAGGAGAATTTGTTTAACAATCAAAAGGTTTTTCGGTTGATTGTCATTTCCTTTATTCCCATGACCTTAATGTTTAATTCAGGGGTGATATTGGAAGGAGAAATTAGATGCTAATCACTCTCAGGTATTAAAGGGTTAAACATCAAAAACGTTGGGAATTATGATTAGCTCTAACTTTTGGGTGCTACAACATTCTGCAGTTACCTTAATGTATGATGTGTAAAGTGCACAAAACTCTTAAGTCTATCACTGTAAAAGTTAGATGGGCACAGTATTAGAATTACCATTTTATAATTTGGTTAGAGTATAAATTCTCCTTACTTTTCCTCTTCTTAGGCCATGGTCTTGTGCTTCAAGTTGTACTTCATTAAAGATGCAACAATCTGTACAACAGCGGCAGCAACTGTGAGGCAGATGGTGTCAGTGATATTTGAAAGAGTTATTACTGAGGATAAACAAGGCCTGGGTACTAAGCTCTTTGACCTATGCACTTAATAACTCTGAACTTTTACTTACCTTTAATTTTTAAATTAAACTACTGATTGTGTGATACCCTCAAGAATCCAGGGCTGTTCTTCTTAAGAAATGACTGGGTATTAATAACTTGTAGCACCTGTGGTTGTGAAAAGTGCCACCCTGGAATTTTAGTCAATGAGTTTGTACATATATACATGTGAGATACATGTTATAAGAAACTCTACCATACTATTAACCCTAAAAGTTAGTAGGCTGGACTCTGGATTGAGAGGTCTGGGTTCAAGACCTATTGTGTTCTTGGACAGGACACTTTGCCCTCACTGTGCCTCTCTCCAACTAGAAGTTATAAATGGATACCAGCAGTCAGTCAGGGTAGTGTGAAGCATCTTATCATAGAGAGTCAAGGGGATTAGAACTTCAAAAATTATCAAATTATTAAATTTTTTCAGCATCAGCCTGTTGTGATAGTCTGTATTGTAAATTTTCCAGTTTCTCAGGATGTAGAAGAAACAGCAGGATCAGTGCGACACAAGAACTGTCCAGTCAGTCTGCACCCATGTGGAAGGGATGCTTATCTTCTATTTCAGGTATATACATACCTCTTAATAACCGAGTGTGAGGTCTGTACTGTAACTTGTAGACTTAGTTTTTGCTCAGATTTATGGCCCCAGCCCGAAGCCTGCAAGCCAAAAATTAGAGCAGAAAAATGAGGTTTCGTAACTTAAAGTATGGAATGAGGAAAAGAAGTTATTAAGATATGTATTATGTATTTAGGTTCAAATAGAGAGGGAATAATAATTATTTAATTCAAACAAACTTTTGAATTTAGCAGGCCATACAGTGAAATACATCCTGCTAAATTGACCAATTATGGTGCATGTACTAACTGAGTATGGAACACACAAATTCAGAAGGTCTTGATATCAAAAGCCTCCTTGGAAATTTATATTGTCTGTGATAGTTAACAACTTCCCTGTGAATTTTATTTTAGGATTTATGTCAACTGACAAATGGTGAACAACCTTACTGGTTGAATGGTATCACTGAGATGACAAGAACATTTGGATTAGAGCTGCTTGAAAGTGTGCTCAGAGGTTACCCGAATATATTTCTCAAGGTAAATTAAATTCTGAGCTATCCAGGGCCCAGTTGTACAAAGGGCAGGTAATGCTATCCAAAGGATAAATCACTATCCAGGGGATGAGTGACTATAAAACATACTGCACTATCCATTGGATAGAGATTTATCCAGTGGATAGTGTCATCTGACCTTCGAACAACCAGGGTCAGATGTTAAAAACAATAAGGCATAAAGATCACAAGTTAAGATGTTTCATGAGAGATCTGAAACCCACAATTATGATGCAAGGATTGACAACAACATAAGCTTCCCAAAGTGCTGCAAAAATCACTTTCCAGAAAGTTTTCCAAGTAGAAATTAATCATTATTTTTTAAGTTTTCTGTAGCAATTGACGTCTTGTTTATGATAGATTGGACATAAGTAATATAGAGTAATCGGTATTTGTTTTTCAGTTTTTAATCATTGTTGTAATTTGACCCAAAGATCCCTCTTGGGGAGTCCCAGTAAAGATGTTGTATTGTATTTTATTGCATTCATGAGGGGCTGATTACCATTATAACTTCAAACTGGGCAATTGGAGTAAGACATGATGTAATCATCAATCAGGCTGAGAAAGCACAACTCTTATTCATCAGTTTTAAAATCATTTGGCTCTGTTTTTTTTTCTTCAGCATCCAGAGTTCAGCTTCCTTCTGAAGGAAAGGGTATGCCCTCTAATTATCAAGTTGTTCTCTCCAAGCATCAAACATCGCATAAGCTCCACTCCATTAGAGAAGCCTCTTTATCCAGTGGCTGTTAGACTTCTGAGAATTGTCTCTGTCCTGATCGAGAAATTTTACACTCTTCTGGTGAGCTGTTTAATTTTTATATTTAATTTCATAGATTTCATTTTAGTCTTAAAAGAACAGTAATGGACTGATTCCTTGAACATGACCAACATGAACCCTCTTACAATTAGCATGTAGAAATACTCACAGATCTGATGTTTTTGCACAAATCGATGTATCAAGTTGTCTTTTGGAGGGTTGCAACATTCAACAGGGAACTTAATTTACTTCCCCCCTTTACACCTTAATGTCAGTATCTACATTCTCCATACTCTCAGGACTCTAAATTTTTCCTTTGGTACTGATGAGGAGAATTTGTTTAATAATCAAAGCCTCTTAGGTTGGCAATCATTTCTTTTTTTCTAATGATCTTAATGTATGATTCAACACTGTAAGGAGAAATTAAATGACGGTCACTCTTAGTGTTTAAAGAGTTGAATATTTTTAATTTAGGTGTTAACTTGCTATTAAAAAGTGCTTGAGAGGTGGTAAATAACAGGGCTGATGGTTGATAGCTACCTAAAATTTAAATTGCTTGAAATACATGCACAGTACCTTGACATAAGGATTTATTGTACTTGCTATCGAAAAGTTCAACGAGTGAACCAAGATTAACTTTTTCTTGGATATTTTTGGTTATATCACAGGTAACAGAATGCGAGATATTTCTTTCTCTCTTGGTGAAGTTCTTGGAGCCAGATAAACCTCAGTGGCAAAGAGCACTGGCTCTTGAAGTTCTTCATACCCTTACCATCCAGCCAGCCTTGCTGAGGTAAGTTATTGTTGAATCCTCTCACTTTAACCCTTAAACCCCAGAAGTGATTAACATGAAACTTCTCCCTATAATATCCATACATTATTCAGCAAACAAGTAATGAGAATATTCAAACTTATCAGGTAGAAGCTGCTATCTTGATCTAGCACCAAGTTCTCATAACTAATTTACAAGGAAATGTGTAGCAGCTACAGGGGAGAATTAATAATCAGTTCTTGGGAGTTAAAGGGTTAATGAGCCATCCGTTTTCAAATTATTACCCACTTTACAACTCTTATGTCATGCTGCAAATACAGTTAGATGTTGCACTAAATTTTGAGGGCAACTTTACATTTTGTTCTGAGTCTATTTGAACTGCAAGCAGAATTCTTAGTTAGGAATTTGGGTCTTAGAATTATGTAACAGGGCTCAAAATAATTCCTTTTTTGGAGAGTTGGCAGTTTTGCAGGCTGGCCGAACAAATTTTAGTTCGGTCACATATCTTTTCTGACCGGTCAAATATTTAAACTTTTGATTTTTAAGTAATGGTCCGTTAGAACTATTGCCTTGTATGCCCAAAAACTCCTTTCTTAAGGGTATAGAAGTTTGATCGACCCAAGGTATCACGCGTGTACGCTATTTGCATTGATACAAGCAATGGCCTCTGTGCTCTATTTGGGACGAAAGATTTTTGACTCAACATTCAATTTATTTTCTGATGAATTCGTTTTCTTAATTTTTTTATTAGACAAAACACACTGCGAACACGTAGTTTTCTTTGAAACACAAAAATTTTCCAAACCTATGTCTCGTGTTCACCGTTTCGTGAGTTTCACAATAAATACTTTCTCACCTGTAGGTCATTTTGTCTCTTCTACGACATGCAAGAGCATTCTACAAGAATCTTCCATGATATGGTGAATGCTCTAACGAGTTTTACCCAGGGAATATTCACCAACCTGTCAATGCACAGCTCGTCACAGAACACAGCTCACCTGCCGAGTGCGAACACGATCCAAACACCCTCCAGTGCCCCTCCCCCATCAGTTGTGGCGTTGAGTGCAATGGGCGGGGTCACCCCGCAACCTGGATTCTCCTATAGGGGTGCATGGATACCCCTGTCTGTTTTGCCCGTTTTAGGACAAGCTAAACCTGTTTAGTAAGTGTTCTTGAGAATCGCCCCGATTGCTTCTCTAAACTTTTCACTTATGCATTGTTTGGTGGAGGTTTGAATTATTTTAAACATTTCCACGATCAAATCTGCAGATTTATGCCTGTTTTTTTCTCCAGAAGGTAGCCAACCCTCTAGGAACTCCTGCAGCTACAGGAGGGACCCCAAAGGGGAACCCCTTCCAAAGATGGTGGGAAACCTCTGTAGAACGCCTTCCCGTGGGGGAGGAAACCCTTTGAGGAACTTCTTCCCGTGGGGGAGGGAACCCTTAGAGGAACCTCTTCCCGAAGGGGAGAGACTAAGTTGCTTGACGCAGCCAAACAACAGCTGCAAAAGACACTAATTAACCGGTCAAATAACCAAGGTTTTAAGGTTTTGTGGACGTTACTTCGTGTTCAGCCGCGCGCTTTGCTAAAGAAAATCGGGAAGGGGCGTCTTTGATTTTTCAGTGATAATCGTGTTCAAATACCAGACGATATTTTTCTGTAATTTGTGGAGATGAATGGACTAGCTATCGTTCGCAGATCATTGAGACATTGAAACGACGAGTTTCAGGGCCGCACAAGAGACTAGTTAGTCTTTAGCCAATTACAAAAAGGTACCATGTTTTTCTTTTCCTAGCCTTGAACAGTTAGAAAAAGAAAATTCATCGATCTCCGACGGCTACACACTCTCCATTGCGTTTGCTTGTTTGCTGGAGATCGTCAAAAGTCTTGATGTGCTTGTACAAGAAAACAATGGTGTGTCAAGTGCTGCCGAAGGGATGGGGTGGATTGAGCCTGATGCATCAGGAGCAGCCATTGAAACCGGAGTGGGAACTGACACCATCAATGAGAATGATAAAGGTAAGGAAAAGCTTTTGTTTGTGAATGACCAAGACAGAATTTTTCCTTACAATATCGATATAATATTAAGCAGACAAATGATGAGAGAAAATTAGGAGATTATTTCTTGATCCAGCTCCAAATTCTCCGAACTTATGTTATAAGAATTGTATAGCAGACAGAAAGGGGAATTACGAATGAGATCTTTGAAGTGAGAGGGTCAAAGTGGAGCGATTTCTCTCTGAAATTAATCCAAGATTGCTTCGTTTTCTTGAAATCTCTATTCTTTTATTTCCTTAAGTTTCTGAAATGGTCGTAAAATTAGTTAAAAGAGCATAAATATGCTTTGGAATTTACAGTAGAGATTAGAGGTAAATTAAGCTGCGATAGGTCTGTTATTTCATTACAGCTATGTGTCTCAAATTTTCCATATTTTTAATGTAGAAAAGAGAAAGTTCGTTTCAAATCTCTCGATTAATTCATTCAGCTAAAAAGACTTTTAAAGACAAGTACAGTTGGTTACAATAGACTCTTTCCATCACCAGGAAAAACCTGTGTCTTGCTTATATACTGAATTTTACAATTTGATTCTCTGCTTTCGTTATACTTCTTTGAAGTCATTAAACTATCAGAAGTGATTAACATGTAACTTCTCCCTATAATATCCATGCATTATCTTGCAAATAGGTCATGAAAATACTCAAACTTATCAAGTAAATGTTATCTTGATCTAACACCAAATTCTCGTAAGTAATTTACAGGGAAATGTATGGCAGCTAGAGAGGAGGATTAACAGTCAGATATTGGGAGTTAAAGGGTTGAACGGATTATTTTTTTTAAACTCCTTCTTAATGTCTCGCTTGAAAAGAGCATACGCTAAGGGATTCACTGCAGAGTTAAGTATTAAAATAGGCAGCTTGTAATTGAAATCACCGCAACTGGAATCCTTTGAAATTACCATTACAAGGCTACATTTCAGGTAAATGCCATAACAAATGAGAAACACTCCAATTGCAATAGCCATCATTTTGACTGCAGACTTTCCTTGAGTTTTAGCCACAAGTCGATGGTTAAAACGGAGCTGTTTTGCAAGCCTGCGGATGGCATGGCCTTGTTTGAAAACAACACACAACATTGATGTTAAATAAAATAATAAAAATACACACAAAACTACTTCAAAAATCATATACAACCATCCAGTGACATGGAGAGCAAGAGTTGTTTCTAATCTGTATCGAAGTAGTGACACAAGTGCAATAAAAAGAGCGGGGATTGCCCAGGATAAGAGTATTATTTGTATGACTCGGCTGCGCCTCATGATAGATAGGTATTTTAACGGCCTCACAACAGCTAGGTAGCGTTCGATGACTAAACCACACAGATTTGTCCCAGACGAGTATTGGAAGAACACCCTGGTAAACATCATAGGTAAAAAGTGGTCGATTGGCTCACACCAACTCGCCAACTCGCAGAAGAAATGTGAAGGAACTGTAGTCAATCCTAGGAAAAAATCTGCCACTGCTAAGGAAACAACGAACGCGTTGGTTTTGGTACGAAGATGTCGATTCCAGCATACGAGGAGGATCACAAATCCATTACCGATAACTGTGAAGATGGTGAAAATCCAAGATATAATCCAAGCCCATGTTTCCATTTTCTGTGAAACGCTCTCGCTGTTGATATTGCTAATGATCTAAAACAGAGATTGCATTATCATGTTTGCAAAAGGTTGTTTTAAACCATCTGCTCTCCCTAGAGTTATTTACAATTTTGTCTTTGCATTGAAAATAATATTACCACTTTTATTCAAATTTTTCAAATTATTTTGTGTGCAGGCGGTTGTTTAAACCGTCTGCTCTCCCTAAAGTAATGTACAATTTTCTTTTTGCATTGAAAATGCAAAAAGCAATTTTCATCATGCAACTCGGTAAAAGTCCTTCTTTCGCCTAGGTAATATAAACTGATAGCATCAAAAATTAATTGGTTGTTTGAGGATGTCTAGCACTTTGTTATCGCATCGGAACTTTCTTTCGTTTCATCATAGTGGTGAACAAAATGAAACAATTATGACGAAGAAATTAATCCTTTCCGTCAAAAACTGTAAGCCCATACAGCTAATTTAATAGCTCTTATGACTTGACTTTTATTTCTACGCTCATAATCGCACGCAACTCAAATAATGGAATCAAGAAAAAAAAAGACCCTCACTAACCATATCCTTGTCCAAAATGACGGTTGAAAAGTAAACGAAGCGTTATTAAACAACACGTGAAATACATAATAGCGTCCGTGTTGTTAGTAACTTTTAAACAGTTTCGTTCTGCCAGTTTCAGTTCCAGCTAATAACATGTTTAATCTAAATATAGAAAAACTTATGGAGATATTTGTATTAGGGGGGCCTTTTCTTTTAATATCAACAGTTTCAGACTGTCGAATCTTTCTTTAATTAGTCATCATTGTGTTGGTCACTTCCTTTCAACGAGTTTTTCAGTAACTCTTGCAATTAACGTAGTAGGTATAACATGGAGCATGAATAAATCTAAGTTCCGTAGATATGCACTGAAACAAGTTGCAGTAACGTTGACAAGAAAATAACTAAAAAGAAAAGCGAAATTTAATTTAATTAACATATGGCATGATCAGCATACGGCATAAGCATATAATTTTTCATTAATTTTGGGAATTGCACACAGCCAGATAGTAGTTTTATGTGCTAATAAATTAATATTTGGTTTTTTTTCTTCTTTTGTATGTGCTCTTTTTCTTTGACAAAGTTATTGCAATTAGGTATAAGTAATAATCTTAGACTCCATTTATGGCACGGCTGTTAAGAGCAGCTTTGAAATAAAAATAATAATTCGCTGCGTTAGTGTTCTAGGGAGTTCATTCCAAAAACGACACCTGGCTCTTTATTTTATTATTATTTATTTAATATGAAATATTCTTGTATTTCAATCATTTAAAGAAAGTAGCAGTACTTAGTAATTATGAATTCATTCTGTCTAATTTGTACACCTTGGAATGCTATGTTAGAGCGTGCATTAGATAATATCGATTAGTCACCGCGCTTGTTTTTAACCATTTAGGGCAGTAATTAATGACATGATTACTTTGCTGGTTTTTAGAGTAATTTTCAAAAGTCGAAACGGTGATCCGGGAGTTCTTTGGTTTTGACTAACTTCGATTTGTGATTGGTCTAGAAAACTGGCGCCATGCTCTAAAGCAATCAAACGCCAAATGAAAACCAGTCATGACTTGACTGCGATTCTCCTTGTTTTTACTTTAAGTCCTGATTGGCTAATGATGTCTCAAACCTTCGTAATGATTGGCTGTTGTGATTACTTTGGGTTTGGTTTTACGACAGTCATCTTTTAACTATTCTATGATAGCAATCGAATCTTGACCGATATGTATGCCGGGAAGAATATCAATAAAACTTGAGCATACATGTAGCTTGTATATGGAAATAGCTAAGAATCGTTTTTAAAAAGCTGTCATTTTTTAATGACAAATTTGCCAAGAGAAAAAAAAAGAAAGAAAGAAAACCTGAACTGTTAAAATAACAAATAATAATTCAAAAACGTTACCTTTCCTGAATTTTAATGTTTTTATTTATTCATTTTTCAGGATCAAAGGCACCAGATTTATTTCAGGAGATGGTGTCGGCCTCGTGGTGTGGTATTTTGGCGTCACTTTCTTTACTGTTGGAAGCAAGGTACTGAATCGCGCAATATTTTGATTGGAAAACGCATAAACTTTTTACCGATCGTAGCGGTAAGAAAACCTCTCTGGAGGGATCCCTTAGCCTAAATTAACTTCCCGCATAAGAATTTAGAGCGAATAATATAACTGTTCCAGTATAGATCCACTAGTTCAAACGTTAACAACAAGACGGGCTCGTGATTTTATTCACTATCGCCCATAACTGCTCATAATTAGGCTACTCACTTCACTCATTATCTATCACGGAATAATTCGGGAGTAGCGTTACCAATCACATGACAGCATTTGTAATAGAACACTGGTCGATTTTTACTAATACTGAAAAGCCACAGGAAATATTTAATGTATTCGTTAATTGGATCACGTCTAGGAAGTAAAAGGTTTTTGTCAGTGCTGATGCGATAAAATGTCTTGCAGCAATGATGAAACAGTCACGGAATCCATTCTAAAATCCTACCAGCTTTACGCCAACGTCTGTGGTATATTGAATCTTACAACTCCAAGAGATGCTTTTATCACATCACTTTGCAAGGCAGCACTGCCCCCACACTACACCCTGACAGTAGTCAATCCCCACTCTGGTACCGCACAGGTTTCTTATGTCAAGATGCCAATTAGTGGGTCTCAGGCTCTCTTGGATCCTCAAGGAGGAGATCACCGGGCTCTGGGTAAATCACCGACCAACTCAGGGGAGACTGGTTTTGGTGCTGTGGTCACAGGGACCCCACTTGGCTCTAGTCATGGTCCAGTGTCGGTGAGTAAAAACGTTGGGTAAATGACGTCATTCTAGTCATTTAACGGCAATACTGTATTTGAACTACAGTCTAAACTTCTTAAGTCTGACATTTGCAATCATTTACAAAGAGGGGTGTCAATAACTTTTTTCATAACCAACTGCCGATGGTGGAATAGGCGAATGTAACTTAAGGTGAAACCGAAACACGAGAGCCTGTAGGCTGAACAGTCAGCGGTGATTACCTTGAAACTAATGATGTATTTATTTCCAGTTGACAGCGAAGAACATCCAATGTATGCGATCGTTATTGAGCCTTGCTCACTGTCACGGTGGAATTCTGGGTACAGCGTGGCACATGGTTCTTACCACGCTTCAGGTGAGACAAGAATCATTGATGAATTTCGGACTCAAAAACTGAGAAATGAAGGGTTGAGAGACTAAGGAATGAGACAAAAAGGAATGAGAGATAACGGACGAGATTTGAAACAAAAAGAGAGGAAGACGTTAAGAGAGAGGGAAAGAAAATTGAGGAATGAGAAGTGAATAAATGGGAGATGAGCGAACGAGAAATGGAGGAATGAGAAATGAAAAAATGAAAGTTAAAGGAGTGAGAAACGAAACGTAGATTATTGCAAATCTAGGTGGCTCTGAACCAACGATACAATCTTTTTTGTTGTTGTTGAATTTTACCCAAAGCTATGTGTTGGCTCACATAGCCGGCTGAACTTAAGGGTTTTTCTAAGAAGCTTAAGGGTTGTTATGGCAACTTACCACGTTGGGAAAACAAATTGTATTTAAAGATGATTGGAAGTTGTATGATACTTCATCTGAAGTCACGAATGGAAATTTATGGTCTCATTTATTCTTAAAGCAAGAGATGTTGAACAAAAAAAACTACAATTTATATCTCAATAGCATCTGACCTGGATTTTGGGTCTCAAGCCATCAACTGGAGGAACACTCAAAGCCATGCCAGCGAGCGAGGCCCCTAATCTGGTAACAAGTACATTTTGTAAAGAAGGGATTGTGATCACAAGCGACTAAAATGTTTATTTTCTTTGGAATCTCATCACCATTTAAGTTTCTCTAGTTCTTTATTTGGAATCCTTGTCGATAATCCTCGCTGTCCTTAATCCACAGCCATCTCCGTCCTTTTTTCGTTGATTATTACCTCTCTAGATGTTGATTCTTTCATCTAGTATCTAGTGAGTATTTTCCCATTTTTCCATCGCTATGCGAAGATTTACGTCAGATTTTACGACGCAAAAATACAAAAAATTGCAACAAAAACAGCAACAGCAACAATAAAAACAACAAATGAAATATCGTAGCCTGGTTTTCAAAGGGATCTGATGTGCACGAAAACCGGGCTCTTTTATTTTCAAATTTGAATATGAAAGCAAGTCATTCATTTCCTGTGGCAAGTAATCCAATTTTTGTGCTGCTTCATAGAAAGGTTATCTCTTCTTTTAAGTAGCTTTCGTCAGTTTTTATTCATCGTAGTTTTCATGCACGGCTGAAAATGTCATTTGTGACTCTGTTAATGGCTAGCTTTGTCTCTTCCAGGTTATAACACAAACAATGATGGCTGAACTTCCAGTCTTGGCTGCAATCTTATCAAGACTCTTTGAAACATCTAAGTACGTTGTCGTAGAAGAATTACTTATTTCGCATTGGAGCAATTTTTAGTCGAGTGATGAACATAGTCTGGCATTACTTTGCTTTGCTTTAGTTCGCTTCTTTATCGGTTCAGGAAACTCCCTCCACCGTCTCGACCAGTCAGATGCGATACTTGAACCAATCGCGAAATGTTCACTTTCATCTTCACTGAAATTTTTCCGATTTCAAAAGGCTTTCCGAGAAAAAAAAAACGCATAGTTGTTATGCAGGCGTATCCGTGGCCTTTTCTCGTCAACACGTCCTCTATAGCTCAATTGGTAAGGTATCCAAACTCAAAATCGCAGGAACTCGCTACAGTTCGACTGGATTCATTCGGGAACTTTGATTGTTTCGTATGTTTTTAGATACCTGGATGACGTAGCCCTCCATCATCTTGTAGACGCACTTTGTAGATTGTCGTCTACATCCATGGAACAAGCTCAAAGCAATAAGGTAACAGAAAAGTTTAGAGTAAATTTCATGGCTCTAGTTCGATCGATTTTCAAACTTGAAATGTTCATCCGGGGTTTCCAAGTGCTTGACAGTCTTCTCCATTCGTTGCCACCCTTTTTCCTTTTAGTTTATTATGGTCTCCTTTGTTTTGTTAAATCTAAGCGAAATAATACTTATTGTCGTTCATTTTAGGAACCATCTCTCTTCGCCGTTGCTAAGTTATTAGAAACAGGCCTAAATAACCTTCACCGCGCACGCGTTTTGTGGAAACCGCTGACCGCACATCTGTTGGAGGTAAGTTTTTTCACTGCGACGAAAAAACGGAAGTTGTCTTTCCAACCTTTACCTCTGTAGGTCCTTTGTGGCTGTCTACTACTTCTCGCCTGTACCACCATTCATGGCTTATAAGTTTGTTTTTTGTTTGTTTTTCAAGGTTTGCCAACATCCTCACACTAAAATGAGAGAATGGGGCGCCGAGGCGGTGACGTCATTGGTTCGCTCAGCTCTGACGCATGACCACGATCCACCATTGAAACAAGACTTGGTAAGTCACGTGGTAGATATTATAGGCCAGCCTCGTTGTATAGCAGTGTTAGATCATTGAACTCGTTTGCTTCTGAATGGTGAACGGATGGATGGACACTGGGAAAGAAAAAGAAGGGCTAAGGGTCGGAATCCTATAAAATTTAGGGCAGTGTACCAATCTTTATCAACTTACAGTTGATAGCCAACTAAATTTAATACAGAGATAGACACTCTCAAATCCGAAGTAATCATGGCTAATTAGAGGAAAAGAAATTATCACAAGCAGCCAATGAGAACTCTTTGTAAAAACCAAGCAAACTGCTTGAAGCGCGGGAAACCGCATTTGGTTTGAGGTTTGAATCTGATTGGTTGAGAAAGTGGCGCAACTCTCTGGACCAATCATATAGCGAAGTTAAGCAAAACCAATGCAATCCCCGATTACTTAGTTTAAAATTGCAAGTCTATACGAATCGTTTAGTCAACCAGTCAAACACATGGATAGACAATGGTAGACACTCAGACAGGTTCTTGCCATAGATCAACTATGATTGTACAGCGTCTGTGGTGTTGCTCTCATAGGGAAAACGGAAACTAACGCTATTATCTTCCCTCTGTCCTCTTCCACAGCAATTACAGTCCATGCTTCTGGGTCCACTCCAAGAAATGTCCACCATAACTTTCTCTGATATTCGCTATAAACAATTGGAATGTGTTCTTCAGGTGAGGGTATTGCTCTATATTTTAGTTTAGATCTAATCTCATTTTGTGGCTAAATGTTTCTTGTCTGGTACATTTTAACGTAGAAACCTCGAATTAAATTCATTTACCTTAAACTGTAAAGTTATTGATATCCTTTACATGCTTGTGTTCAAAAATGAACGGCCGCAATAAATTTCCATCAGCCATTTGAATGCTTGATGAGGTGCCAGCAAATTGTTTTATGACATGGGCAAATTCACCTGCGTTTATCTATTAACAGAAAATTGGAACGAAAAAGCTCTCAGTTTTCTTGAAGTATCGGGGTAAGTTTCCGAAAAATTCGAACTAAAGATTAGAAAGTTTGTCCCGAAAGAAGACTATACAAATCCTTACAAAGTTCTTATGCATTAAATAAAAGCCTTGTTTACTGTCCACAGATTCTTCACTCCACTGGTCAAAATCTTGGTCAGGGTTGGTTATGTGTGTTGGGAGTTATCGGAGCGGCTACCAACCAACAAGGGTGAGATATATTTATATTTCATGGCCTGTTGACTTAGATAACCTGCATCGTTCTACTGTTCTTTCTTGCGAACATTGTAGACCTTGTTTGGCCAATGTGAATATGTTAACATGTATATAACTTTGATGAAGAATTGGAATTCTAGGGATAGGCTATATTATAGAATTTACCGGCAGCTGTTGAGCGGGCCTAATTTGTGTGTGTGTGTGTGTTTTTCAAGCTAGTGAAGGAAAGCGCGAGTAACGTACAATGCGAGGACTGGGGCAAAAATGACGCCGTTTCTCTCGCACGACACTCCCACTTCACGTTCGCCTCGTGCTTTACTCGCGCTTGTACGTTGCTCGCCGGAAAAACGCAGATAAATTGCACCTTTACCGCAGCCTATAATGTGTTCTGTACTGACCACAGGAACATCTTTAAGTGATTTATTATGGAGAAAATGAAAACTTTAACAATCGGGTATCCTTTTGGTTGTGGAGCCCTAACAGCGTAGAACCAGTTGCCTTATGCTTAGGTGCACTAATACGTCGATTCTTCTCCCACGTTGTTACAGGGAAGGTCTTATTCGCGTGGCGTTCCAAAGCCTGCAGCTTGTTGTGACCGATTTCCTTCCCTTGATGCCTTGCACGTGCATCAAGGTGGTAGTAGATGTGGCGGGAAAATTTGGCCTCCAGCCTCAGGAGCTGAACATTAGCTTGACAGCCATTGGTCTGTTGGTAGGTTACCGGGCTGAACGTCGGGTCTAGAGGTCTGGGCCAGAGCCATGGTTATTTTATTGTGTGTTGTTTGGCAAGACACTTCACTCTCATAGGTCACTTTCTTCACGACACAGGGGGGGGGGGGCCTAAAGAGCAATCTGCGGGGGACGAGCATTCCAGTTCTTTGGCTTGTTGGTGTTGCATGTTTGGTTACTTGTTTCTCCCAGTTTGCATCGAAGTCTTTGCATCCTGGTGGATTTGTGTGCCCCCGGCATTGTTAGAATATTAGATCATTTGCCTTTATGCCTTTTGCTTGCGGAGTTCTTGCTGGTGCGGTAGCGTTTTCATTCTTCTTGTTTGCTTGTTTAGTTTAAGAGGCCATTTTCAATATATTATGATTCAAACTTGGCTTCGAGGCTTGGGGAAACAAATCAAGGGAAATCACATCGAGGCTGAGGGATGAATAATTAATTTCTTTTGTTTTATTTCCCCTAGCCTCGGAGCCATGCCAGAATTCCCTCTTTTATGCATATATTTTCAGTTACTTTTTAGTCTTTTCCTTTGTCTTTCTTTCCACAAGAAACCTTTTAATTTTCGTAGCTAAAACTTCCCTTGAAATGGGCGTAACAGCACCAGGTTTTGTCGAAAATCAGAAAAATTTGTAATTTTGATTCTTTATCTTCGTGTTTAGTGGAATATCTCCGATTTTCTCTCACAACACCGAGAAAAAATTCGCACAGAATTGCAAGACATTGAGACGACCTTAAATGACAGTGCTAAGTACGACAAACCCGTCCCCCCCTCAGACAGGCAGTGGATGTGTTTGTATTCCAAACTTGGTGAGCTGTGTGTCGACCCTAGGCCAGCCGTCAGAAAAAGCGCGGGGCAAACGCTGTTCTCCACCATTAGTGCGCATGGCTCGTTGCTGGAAAATATCACGTGGTACACAGCTCTGTGGAGGGTAATCATTGCTTTGTTATCTGTTGATCAATTGCTAATTCTCCATTCTGGCTCATTTATATTTAGTTGTCAGTTAGAAAAGAGAATTTAATTTGTAGTCAAGTGAACACCCCCCTCCGTCAGCTGATCAATTTGTCTTTTCTCTTCAATGTAATATCAGATAATTTTTTGAAAGGAGATGTTATACATTAACCTCTTCTTGGTGCCTAAAGGGTTGTAGAGAGGTTTTTTCCATTGATTGTCCGCTCAAGGCTCACCTCATTCCCATGGAGAATGTAAGACATGACATACAATGTAGTATTCATTTTCCAACAGGTGTTGTTTCCTTTGCTTGAGCAAGTGAAAACCATGTCTACTTCAGCAGCTGATGTTCCTCCTCCAAGCGATGCAGTAAACTCAAAGAATAAAATCCTCATTCACCATTCACGTGATACCGCTGAAAAACAGTGGGCTGAAACTCGTGTTCTGACACTCAGTGGCGTGGCGCGTGTGTTCAACAACCGGCGTCAAATTTTGGCGGGCCTTGACGAGTTCCCGCGTGCATGGGCGCTTTTGTTGGAGTTTATTGAGTCTGCGGCTTTGAGCAAGTCCGCTGAAGTTGCACTGGCGGCTCTCAAGAGTTTTCAGGACATCGTTCAAGATTCGTCAGAAAGTCAAGAGGGTGCTGGCGCAAATTCCTCGAATACAGAAGACAACGGAAAGGACAAAAGAGTAGCAAAGGGAGCTGCTAAACTTAAAGTTAAACCCAAGTTTTGTGAGGCAGCAGACGAGGATTTAAATCTATGGACGAACGCGTGGCGTGCTTGGTACAACATCGGCATAACAAGCATGTCTGAGGCACATATCGTCAGAACTCGCAGGGACTCTTCTGGAAAAATCACTACAGCTAGAACTTACCCTGCGCAAGCTTTCCTGGCAGCTTTAGTTCAGATTTTTCCTTCGCTATTCATGAGAATATATAGCCGTTTTGGCCTGGCTGATCTACAGAAGCTTGCGCGAATTCTACAGACTTCTGTAACTATTCCTGTACATATAGATCAGTCGCCGTTTTTAGTTCCTTCATTTCAGGATACTGTGTTAACAGCTTTACAACACGCTATTCTGGATGCTATTGAAATTTTGCGCGAGCCACTGCCTCATTCTTCCAACTCGGTTCTCCACGATTCTAAACAACCAATGTATCCGACACTTTTTACACTGTTGCTGCAGTTTTTCGATTATGCGACAGAACCTCCAAAAGTTGACGATTCGTCTAATGCAGAGGCTTCGAGAAGGAAGAAAAAGGAATGGATTATTCTATCGTTGACTCCGTTCTCGGAGAAATGCATGGAAATGGTTGTGGTACTTTACGGGGAATGTTTATCTGAGCCAGCTGTTATAGAGGAAAAAGTGTTGGAGAAAATCATCAAGGTACGAAAGGCAATCAGCTTCTTAAATCTCTTTATATCATCAGTATGTGGTTCACTCAATAATGAACAAATGATGAAATTTTTTTTCGGAAATTTATGAATTAGGTAGTTATTTTCCGATGTACAACAAAGTGATTGAAACAGAAAGCAAAGCTTTTTTCAAACGTATTTCATAGAACAAAACCTGGGGAGAAGTTATTTTCAAAGGACAGTGACAAAAAAGGGCAACTTTTTCAAACATGAGGGAATTTGAGCATTGCTTTTAAAACCTATGGCAATAGCAAACGGCAATAATGCACTTAAATTTTATTCAGACGTCAAGGAATTAATTTTTTTTTCCGTAAGCCGTAAATTTCATGCTTACTTTCCTCGTGAAATAATCGCTTGGACAAATTTGAACGAATGTAGCCTTCATAGCAGGCAGTTCTGTGTGCGCCTTAGCCACTATCTCCCGTACCAATCCTCTCGCGGCTTCGGTGCTTGCATTCTTGGTCTTCAAAGCGCCCACAAAACTGCCAGCTAGCAAGTTGGAACGAACGAGGTTTACTTTCGTTCTGAGGTCCTATGCACTTCATGGATTTTTACAATTTTTGTATTGATCTTGTGTGGAGCCTTTTTTCTTTTGCCTGCGTGATGAAAACAAAAATATTAAATGGATCATAACTGTTTCCAGTCTTTGCGCAATCCTCTTCGTCTCAAGTACAGCTGCTCGTCACAGTCCACCTGGAAGCTAGCCGTAGATTCATTGATGACTGTCATTCGTAAAGGACTCAATGTGGCTCTTGCACGACCAGGTACCGTGACTTAAATTGACTTAAATGACTGTTTACTTCATGAAGCTTATCGTTTGTCAGGATTGGCCACCGTACCGAGCAAGATAAATCTATCTTGTCCGCTCGAGAATGTCTACTTTGTTCTCTTTGTTCCACCCCTTCCCCCAATATCCCCTTCTCCTCATTTCTCCTCTCATCCACCTCTCCTCTCGATATTTTCTCCCTTTTTCTCCCTTCTCTTCCCCTTCTCCGTGTATCCCCTTCCTTTTCTATCTTCTTCCCCCATTAAACCCTTCCCTATTATCTCCTTCCCCCAATATCTACTTTCCCCATTATCTCCTTCCCCCACTATACCCTTACCCCACTATCCCCTTTCCCTTCTATCTCCTTCCCCCATTATCTACTTCCCCTACTATATCCTTCCCCCACTATCTCCTTCCCCCTCAATCCCCTTCCCAACTATCTCCTTCTCCCACAATCCCCTTCCCCCTTTATCTCCTTCCCCCATTATCTCCTTCCCCCTCAATCCCATTCCCAACTATCTCCTTCCCCCTCTATCCCCTTTTCCCCCTCTATCCCCTTTTCCCCCTCTAACCCCTTTTCCCCTTCTATCTCCTTCTCCCTCTATCTCCCTCCCCAACTATACCCTTTTCCCCCTCTATCTCCTTCCCTCACTATCTCCTACCCCCACTATCTCCTTCCCCCTCTATCTCCTTTTCCCTCTATCTCTATCCCCCACTATCCCTTTTTTTCCCTATATCTCTTTCCCCAACTATCTCCTTCCCCCTCTATTTCCTTCCCCCACTATCTCCATCCCCCACTATCTTTTTTTCTGCTCTATGTCCATCCCTCATTATTTCAATCCTCCACTATTCTCTTTCCCCACCATTCCTTCTCCTTCATTTCCCCGTCCCACTCTCCTCTCAGAATTGTCTATTCTGTTTTCCCTATCCTTAACCTTCCCCCACTATCCCCTTCCCTTTTCCCTCTCCCTTGTCAGGTTTGTCTGACTTGTTTCCCCTGTCCTAGCCGACGATTCATTGATGACAGCCATTCGTAAAGGACTCAATGCGGCTCTCTCACGACAAGGTACCGTGATATGAATTGACTGAAATCCACCTCCCCTTCCATCCCTTCCCCTCTCAATCCCCCCTCATTCTATCCCTTTCCATCTCCTTCCCTCAAGTTTGCCATTTTGTTGCATCTTCTTCCCCTCCTTTCACTATCCCCTTCCGCTTTTTCCCATCTCTCCTTCTCTTATGGTCGTTTGTTTCATTTCCTCTGCCCTCTCCTTTATCCCTCTGCATCCCCCCCCTTACCCCCCATCCCTCTCCCGTAGAAAAGGGATTGGTCTCATTACATAAACGGCTATCTCAACTTGAGGCATTCATGTAATAAAACGTTCGGTGGTAAAACCTTACAGTGTCTTCATATGTTACAATCAGTCTCATCTTGGTGAATTGTCTCTTCAATCCTTTCCAATGTTCACCCTCCCCTCCCTCTCCCGTCCTTTATCCCCAAAACCTTCCCTTCTCAGAAAAATGGTTTTGCCCGCTTACATGGGATATGATAAAACCTTATCGTCGTTCATATAGTGCTCTTAGCGTCATCTTTGTAAACTGTATTTCCAATCCTGTCCTTCAATAGTACTGACGTCTCGCTTGTCCTTATAGATTCTTTTAGGTCCATGTGGTACGAATTAGCTTCAGCGTTTGAAGACTTTCTTTTTTCAGATATGTAAGTTCCTCCATTAGTTTTGTATTAAGGTAGATTTGAAGAAGTTGTTTTTAATCTTCGAACTAGAGCGTTGTAGCTGAATGAAAGTCAGACGCTTGTGAATGGGCCGGCGCAGGAAAACACACAGCACTTTACAAGAGCAAGAAAGCGCTTAAATCGTTACAAACAAAACGTACAATATGACATAAGCGCAAAAAGGTAGATAACCTTGCACAAGAGTGGGCGATCCCGCAAGACGTCAAAAGCGCGGTATCAGCAATGACAAGTATGTGGAGTGCGTGCATTTCTTCAGGTGTGTTTGAATTAAATTTCATGGCCCACGAGTCGAAACAAAACCGCTAAAACCAGCTATTCAACGCATATTAAATTAAGACTTTGAACAGCTTAGTAATCACAATAAATAAAACGTTAGCCCTACACCTCCCCTGATGAAACGCATGTTTGATTTTATAGGACCCCCCCTGAGAATCAGTCGCTGGAACAGCATCAGGCAGACGAAGAACTGGACATCAAGGTGAAAAGAACAGTGTTTAAAGGGGGGAGAGGGGTTATATTACAGAAGCAATGACTTGGAAATTAATCATGGTTTATTTTGATTGACAGCTTTTGCGCATGATCCGTGAGGAGATTCTACCCCATTCCGCTGCTCTGCCTAAAGACTTCATGGCACGAGTCATGGCGCTCCTGAACAGAGGCTCGATTCACTCAGCTGCAGATGCCACTTTTAGCGGTACGTAGTTCATTGACTGAATTCTCCCAAAGAATGACGCAGAGAATGTATGGAAATAGTTTAAAAAATTATCAGCAGCATCTCCTGTATATTTAAGCACTGCTCAGGCATGTCAAGAAGACCGTGATTTTCTTTATTGCGTTACATTGGCTGCGGTCGCAGGAAGCGAGTTATATGGTTTTTTATAGAAACCTGGTTAAACTTTCCAAATAACTTAACTCGGTTTAAGATTGGTTATGATGAAACAAAGGGATTATATTTTATGAGCGGCAGCACTGAAGTGGGTTACGAAGTGGTGAAATCAATTGACATCATGAAGTAAACCAACAAAATGGCAGACTTCAAAGGACTACGTTCTTATTTTCTCGTTTTTCTTTCTTTGATTTCGTTTCCTTTCGCTGTACTCTTGGTTGAGGCAGTCCCTCTTCCTCCTGATGCGTTTTACGCAAATTTCCGAGGCAGTTCTTTGGAACATGATGCTTATTTTGTGTAGACGTCAGAATGTTCTCCGTCGCCGTGAATTTCGTGAACAGGTCGCCTTCGTCTTTTAGTTTTTCTAGCTGTTTATTTAATTCAATGAATAAGATTTTTTTTTCATGGTTTTTTATTTCTTGACAGGGACTGATGCTAACGGATTTCCTCTTCGCGAAGAGTTTGCCAAGTCTTGTTTCGAAACTTTGCTACAGTTTTCGTTCGTCAACGGAACATCTGAGGTGGATCAACTTGCAGAGCAGCCGGGTAGGAATTGTTCATCATTTTCTTATCTTGAAAGTGACAAAATAGTCAAATGCGCGACGTCCTGTTGGGGCAAATAGTTGTATTAGCTCTTCGATGATATTCAACAAGGTTTCGCAGGTTTAGGGTGATCTTTGTGGACATAGGCTAGCCGTATTCGGAATGCTTCGGCCGTCTTCAGAATTTATTAACATCAGTCTGAAGTTTGCTATAATTATGGGTGAATTTCTGCTTTGTTACAAAGTTAGTTGAGTAGAAATATATCACTTTGACTATTGCCGTTCAAATCAGGTAAATGAGCTGGTGGACTTGTAAACTCCCTCGATGTTTTTCCTTCATAGAGCCAATACCTTTTTGGAAGATCCTTAGCCCTTTCACTCCCATGATCACATAAGTAATTCTCCTTACTGTCTGCTATACAATTCTATGATGTTAGTTCGGAGAATTTGGTATTGAATTAACTAATAATCCTTTAATTGAAATTTTTGTTTATTCTCATCACTTGTCTGCTTGATGTTGTATTAATATTGTAAGGAGAAATTATGTCTTGATCACCCGTGGGAGTTATAGGGTTAATGAAGTAAAGGAGATTTTTGTGACCATTTTACGTTGTGTTGTAGACGGCAAGGTGTCAGAATTGGCGCTGGACGCTCTACTGAGACGATGTAGCGACGTTGTTGTTAAATACGTGGAAGATGAGAAACTAAGCGGAAAATGTCCTTTACCAAGGTAACAACTTGTCTTTCATGTTTGACCTGAATTTTAACATCCCTGACTGCCGTTTCCATTCAAGTTTAAAATGTTTCTGAGAGATCTCACAGAATTCAGCTTGGACGTCGTCAGTTCTTCCTTTTCATGCCTCCATGCGCCGGCATAAGAACATGGAACGCCATTGATTTCTGTCGCCTGTTGGTCAAGCTGGAACCATATCCAGCCTCTCCTTCTCATTTGCCTTTCTACGGTTCTCCTTCAATTTTCCATAGGGCGGCCTCTTTTACGTCGGCCGTCGGTGGTCCATCGGAGGGCGACTCTAGGCAAGGCTGATGGTGGCATTCTGAACTCGTAACCAATCCGTCTCCCTCTTTCTTCCCTGGACTTTAAATGTTACTCACTAAAATCCTTGTGTTATTCATCAGAACGCGTATGGCGGAGATGTCTTTTGTCATGAAAGCCATAAGTACGTTGCTGTCATCCTTGAAAAGAGCTGTGAAGGAAAATCCTACCGTTGGTAAGCTCAATTATTCTTCTCTTCCCCTCTAAGATGAATACTCTTCGTTAAGGATAGAGCTAAGCTCGTGAAACCCAATATGGTTTTTTTCTTTTTGTTCAGTGGACGCGCAGATCTGGGAACAAGTCGTTGAGTTGTACCCGCGTCTTGTGGAATGTACCGTTTGTAACTCCACCCCCGTCCGCCGAGCTTTGCGAGAGGCGTTACAGGAGTACGCTGACCTGGTAAAACCGCCCATTCGTGTGTCGAAAGCTGTAAATGGTAAACGTTAAAACGCAGATTGAAGCAGAAAGACATCAACCATTCGCTTTTAAGCGTGTAAAGGAGATAATTTGACATTAAATTTTAAGAAGAGGATTTGAATTCCACCAAAGACTATTGAAAATACATATAATGAAGGAAATATGCATTTCAGAAGATATTTCTGGTATTGTGTCTTGCCGACTTCCAAGATGGTTCATGCGCGACGGTGAGCTGGAAACGAGTTGGAGAAACTATAGTTCCTTGGGATATTTTATAGGGGTTCATCCAATCCCCCGCAATGCTCTTGGTTTATAGTCTCAAGCAAACAAAGCTGTTTACCGCAGGGGTATCCATAATTTAATTAAATTTCCGTGGGGGTTTTCTAGCCATTGAAGCTAATGAAGAAAGGAAATTGTGCCTAATCTTAAGCCATATTTGGCGAAGAAAAATAAAGGGTTTTTTTTAACCGTTTCAATTACGATAATTTATAGGAATATTTACCAGGGCATTCTATCCAATGTTACTCCAAGTTATTAGAGATTATCCTATGGAAAGAAATGTACAAATTATAAGGAGGATTATTATTTAGATCTTGGTAGTGAAGGATTGGACCTCCTGATTTTCACTTATGTTTTCATGAGGTGAGGAAAACAAAGATTCCAATAGCTTTTCACTATAGAACAGTTTTGAAGCGAGTGTTGTAAAACAGAAACCATTGCTATTCTACAAGCCAATTGCAGCAAAGGAAAACAGCACAGCCGACCAATAGGAACGCTAAACAAACACGTGACATCAATAGATGGCGCGAGTTTGTCAGCCAATTATTAGGCGACACTTAGTTAAAACTCGCTTTATAGTTATATCAGCACCTTCAACTCATTTTACGTGTCCTTTTGTCGAATACCTTAAGGAGCATTTCGTGGAAAATTTCAATATTTGTTGTATAGTATGAATTTAATTCCTAAAAATGTGTGCAATAAAGTTAGAAGAGAAATCACGATAATTTTTTAGAAGTATTACGTTTTTACTCTGACTTTGTCATCGAAGAGCTCTTATCTAGAGATTTCTTGTTCCCATGTATAGAAAACGGTTCACCGTGTGTTACTGTATTAAGAGAAGACGACTCTCTTGGGAGCTTTCTTGCAAGACAGTCTACAAGCAAAAGGATTTTGCCAAGTCTTTTGAGCATGCTAGCACGCTAGACCTCATTCGCTGACCTCTTTCTGAAACAGAAGTTAAAAATTAAATCAACAGCTAGTCAATATATTTCATTTTACAACTGATTGAGAGAAACCGAGAGCTTTCTGGTAATTTTCGCGACTCTTCAGGCCAAAAGCTCATTTGAAATTCAAATGTATTTTTTAAATCAATATTCATATTTGTGAGTAATCTTGCACGTGGAAGGAGCTTTCGAACTACCAGAAATTTCAGCTTATTTTTCAGCTACTTTCGAGCCAAGAAACTCTTCATTGCAACCCGATTACCTCAGACATAGTCTGTTCTGTCAAGGCCTGGCTTGGGTTACTTCAAGGTTGCAGAACCAAATGGTTTAAAGTCGGCGTCGAGGATCAATGAATGTGTCATTTTGCCTCGATGTTTTCAAGGTAAAAAACTTTCGTATAAAAACATTTGAGATAGAAATACATTGTTTATGTTTATCGTTGTTGCCCCCGAAAAAATTGCAGAATTGAATGTTAAAAGATAGAGCATGCTACACACAAGAAAGTACAAGAACAGTCCTCAATGTCAGCCAGCCGCCATTACATGACGTCATTACATTCTTATTGAACCACGTGACAATGAAGGCAGCAACGACAACTTTTTCCTCTTTGTAGTTTTATCTCTTATTTACCACGTTTATCTGCATTCGTCTCTGTAGATATTTAAATACAATATACAGTTATTTATCCTCATGGTATTTTAAACGTTGAAATCGTTTTACACGTGTTCTTTTTTCGGTCCTAACCCCATCTGCCACCGAAGTAAGAAGTGATTATAAGAACGTCTTGTTGATCAATCAAAAGTTTTATTACTATCCAAGATATCTCGGCCCAGGCCTCAGATCGAGTGGTCTGGCTTCAAACTCTCATTGGGTCAGTATTTTGCCAGTCTTGGGAAAGAAAACCCAATCTTACGGGGGTTCTCCATCTTAGATTTGAACTAAGTACAAGTGACCTCTTATAGAGTGATCTGTTAAAACACTAAACCCTTTGCACACTTATATCAATGTAGATATTCACCATACTGTTCTCTATACATTCCCTATGGTACTGACAAGAAGAATTTGTCTTACAATCAGAGCTTCTCCGGTTGGCGATCATTTCCCTCATTCTCGTGACTTGATGTTTGATTCAGGAGTGATAGTATGGGAGGGGGGAGGGGGTGGGATGAAGATGCTAGTTACACCATGATATTATGTGTCACAGAAAGTAATAAACCAAAAATATGTATTCCTGGATTTATAAGATTTATTTTCTCTCTTATCAAGCTTAGAATGGGAATGTCTCGAATTCAAGAAATTTCAAGGGAGGAAAAAACAATCAGGATGTCCTCTATTAAGGTGAGTAAATAGGTTTTTTAAATGAATGAATTATTACTACAACTCTGGATTTAACTAATATGCGAAATTAATAAAAAGCCCGATGCAAAGTGACAGGAATTTCTCTTATTGAGGTGGTTTTCATTAGTTTACTACTCTGTTGGTTTGGGAGATCATTACTAACATTTTCGTTTCCGTTTATGGAAAACAACCGAGTCGAAAGAATGTCTTGACATTATCGTGCGAGTTATGGCCGACTATTTGACGCACATAGTTACCATAGCAACAGATCAGCCAGCTTTTGAATTTGAAGAGAGTGAGAGTGAATGGGCATGGAAATTTTTAAGGCGTTTGAATGATAACAAATTTGTACCTGATACAGATGAGGAACTGTTTTACTCAATTCAAGGAGAATAACTTTGAGCCTTTTGATGAATGTCTTATCTCCTGAGGAGTTGAATAAAATTAAGAGTATGCTCCAACGGTAAGTAACTGAAATATCTGATAAGTATATAGATCTGACTATTTTTTGTTTTAAAAATAAAATTTCATTCATTCAAAATATCGCAATTAAAGCACAATTTTAAAATGTTTTGGTTTTTGAGGCTCAGAGAATATACTCAAGAAATTAAATTTTTTGGAATTTTTCTCGAATTTTTCATCTTATTTTAAAGTAGGGTTTTTCTATTTAAATCATTTATTTAAATCCTTGGATTTTGATTTTTAGATACCTGGGCATTTTAGGCTTAAACAAAATTTTGATATGTTTCAAGCCTAGAATTTTCCAATTTGGCCCCAAAAACTTGTTATTACCTCTCCGATAAGAATGATGCCCTGATTTTTTTTTCAAAACTGGTTGTATTTTCACTCATCTCGGAGTCTTTTTTAATTGTTAGGTTGTAAAAAAAGCAAAAGAACAAAACAAGCCAAAATTAAAAAAATTCATTTTTTAGCTCTTGACGATCTCACAAAAAAAGATTGTTTGTTTTTAAAACCAAAATTCAAAGGCCATACCAAAAGAAATTGTTTTTTTTTTAAATTGTTCGCAGATTTCATCTGTAATCTCGGGTAGATTATTTATAAAGTTTCAATAAAACGCGAAGGTTGTTAAGCTAAAAATGAAATAGTAGTAATTTTTCCAGCTAGAACAATTGACGGTTGCATTTCAGTGCATCAGTTGATTTGGGAATTCGGTTTTGATCTTTTATAAATATATTTCGATCTTTCCATCTTTGTACTTTCCTGTTGTGGAATCCGCTTAGTGTTATCTTGAGCCCGCAAGAAATTTAACTTGCGAACAATACATTGAGCATGCGCTGAGACACTATGATTGAACTGAATTGAATCACCATTTCGACTTTTTTTTTGTGTCCAAACTTTGAGTATTTTCGTGGTGTTACTGTTTACTATGAAAATATATTTCGAGCTTGTGAATACATTAAATTAACTGTTTACCACACCTGTGTTACGTTTGCAAAATTGGCTGCGTTGAAGATTTCCTATCCTGAAAAACGTCGTTAAAAATCGTAGTCGAAGGAAAATGTTTATCCATAAGGGTATAGACGTTTTATATAAATTGTTAATAACCATTTTTTTTTTCTGGTAATACGTATTCACCATAGCAAAGAAACTGTAAACTGCTTCCTGCGACCTTTATCCAAATCTCCAGGGAACTTGATGTAATGATTTAATGATTTACAAAGTTTGGCAGGAGCAGACATAAGCGGAACTTAAATTCCTTTCCGACAACATTTTAGAAAGATCATCAGAAGTAGTGTTGAATTTCTCTGTAAATCCATTCTTCGTTCACGTTATCGTTTACATTTCTATTAAACCCTCTAACTCGCGATCAAGAAAGAATTTCTCCTTACAATATCGAAACAATGGTGTCTTTGCGAGTGAACCGCCCTCAATCATTTCGCTTAAAAAGCAAGATTCAAAATTCCAGATCGATTGATTCATAGTTTATTTTCATTTTTTTGTAGACTTCTTGGGAATATTACTGATGCTTCAATCGCGAATGAAACAGAAGACTGGACAAGAAAAGATTTAATCAGAGTTACCATCCAGACGAAGGGAATTGCTATCAAGATTGTATCAAGTCGAAGCTAGGATTAATTTACCAAAATCGCAGACTTAAAGCCAAACGTAAGCAAATGTTATCTCGTGGACTTTTGGAAGGTTTTTTCTGTCGACTCGACTCGTGTTGTGGGCAGTTCAAACATTTTCAACTTTCCCGCCAAAAAACTTAGAAAAATACGGGCGCTGTAATTACGCATGCGTCATTTTTGTTTGTTCATTCTGTAAGTAACATCTGTTCAATTGTGGCAGATTTTCCCGCCAAAAGACTTAGAAAAAATACGGTGCTCAAAAATACGCATGCGCCGATTTTTTTTTTTTACATATTGTGTTTAAAGGTTATTTTTATTTTGTTGTTTTCATGTGTTAGAAGTGTATCCACCAGAAAAGTCGTAAACACTCAATAAACAACTTGTGTTTCGTTTGATAAATCATTTTATTTGTTCCAATTTTCTTCAAAATACAAGTTAATTAGATAAGTAATTTTCAGTTAAATTGGTAAAAAGGTATTCAGAAAAATTTTCTAAATATATACTAAGACTTTTGGCGGGAAAATTTGGACGAATTTGCATAGAGTTTCCCCTGGCAACTTTTTCGCCAAAAATTTGAATTAAGTTTGCTTTAAGATTTCCCGCCAAAAACTATTTAAACAGCATCTCGTGCAAAAAATTGAATCCCGATGCCAATTTCTTTTAAACCTGTTTATTTTTCTTAGGGCTGTTATTAACGCTGGAGTTTTTCGTTTTCGATTCTTTGCACGAGATGAACTTAGAAAAAAGTTTTAACGTTAGATCACCATGACAAGCTGTGGATAGTTCAATTCAATCAGAAATTAAAAATTTTTTCGTCCAAATTTTTAGTCATTTTTCCATTTTTTTCCAATCTGCAGGTATTTGCATCCGAATAATTATTTCGCCCACAGCTTGCCATAGTGCTTTTTCAGAGTAAAAGATCTTAGATGCAGTCAGTTTTCAATGTAACACAGGATGCAAGATGGAAAAGCACCGAAACAATTCATTCAGGATTTTGAAATAATCATGCCTGATATTAAATACTAAACAAAATTGAACATTTCTTCTCTGAGTTCAAATGTTATAGAGATTTAAACTGAATTGTAAAAATAATTTGATCCATAAAATGAAAAA